ACCCACTCATGTCCATGTCCTTGTGTGATGTTGCCTCTTAGTGCAGACAGGACTTGTGACTTCCTTTTGATCAACAGAATACAGCAAAGGTGTCAGGATGTATGTGATGACGTATACATGGTTCTCCTAACATTGCAGTGTGACTTTGCTGGTATTGCAGACATAAGTGGCCATATTGGAGAATCTCAGGTGACAAGGGACTGAAAGTTCCCTCTAGAATACAAGGACAACCTCCAGACAACAACCAGTGAAGAAACGGAGTCGTCAGCCTTGCAATGTAACAAACTGAGTTCTGCCAGCAGCTATGTGAGCTTCGAAGACTAAGCTTGAATGTAGAATATTCTACAGATAATTGACTTTTTAAAAAAATGTTAGTTGGATAGAAAGACAGAGAGACAGAAAATGAGCTTTATATAAGTTAATATGGGGTTAAGATACAAAGAGATACAATAACTGAATTCAAAATGTGGATCTTGTTGGAATCCTCACTGTCATGTTACAATGTTTGAGACATTTCAGCAAGTTTGATTGTGGGCTGGATATTAGGTGATCTCTATGTATGAGAATTTATTTTTTTGATGCAATAATGACAATGATTTTGTAGAATGCTATTCGTGTTTAGTGATGCCCACTGAAATATGTATGGTCATAATAACATAATCTTTGGAGTTTGCTTTTGGATTATTCATGAAAGAAAACAGAATAAATGTTGTCTGTGTACCTAGGAAGGTGTCCATGATAAATAAAGAGTAAAATGAATAAATAAATAATTGAGAGTAAATGTAGATTGTAGACCAAAATATATAGTACAATTCTTTTTCATTAATATGTATTCATAGCTAGATATGTATATATGCCTACATCTAAATAGATACAGGCACATACATAGATAATATATAGACAGTTAAGAATAATGATATTAATAAATTGTAGGTAAACTACTGCAACAAATATATAAATAATGGTTAGCCAAGAGGATATTTTTTTGAAGGGATGATACTTTAAATTATGTCCTTGTTAAATTGTTTAAAGTCATATCAGGAATATATTTTAAAATAATTTTAAAATATTAGTCTTCTACAATTAAAAATTTAGAACCTAATAGGGGAAGGACCCTGTCTTGTAATGGAAAAAGATAGAAAAAGAGAAAGTATGTACGGAGAAAAAATGAGAACAAGACACTGAGTGGCACAAAAAAATGAGAGGTGTGCTTTATATTTTAGACATATACAGTAATGAAGGGTAGGAGATAAAGTCACCAAAGTTGGAATAAATAATTAGGTAAAGAATCTTTAAAAAATTGGAATGCGGAACTCACATTAATTTTTGTAGTCTGAAGAAACATATTTCTGAGGAAAATGAGACACTGAGAATGAAAAAGAAAGCAATATTTCAGAGTAGGCAAGAAATTAAGAGATTAAAGACCACAAAGAAAACGGCCAATATGAGAGGAGAAGACAAGACTCTTTTTTTCCCCTCTGAGACAAGGAGCAGAAAGAACATCTTGACAAGTAAACGAGGAGACTCAAATTGAAAATTACTCAATAGTAGCACCGATACTTTCATTTGTTTGTTTGGATACACAGAAAAATCGAACTTCTGGTCTTAAAGCTTAAAATTTACATTTGTTTTATCTCTATTCCTTTCTCAGTAAAGAACCTGCTGGTCTCTCAAAAAAAATGGCAAAGAACTGAAACTCACCGGATTACTACATCCAGACGATGAGATACCAGACCTTTCATTCATCATAATTGCTTCCTGACTCCTTTCTAATTTCTGTTTTCCTTACCAACCACACCTCCTTCTTTTTGACCAACTCCTATTCCTTATGCCTATGTAGTTCCTTTTTTCCCACAGTTACATTTCTTCCCTTCTATATAAACTAATTTTAGTCAGCATGAGAGATGGAATTAAGACTGATCTCCCAGCTCCTCAGCTGCAGCATCTGATTAAAGCCTTCTTCCCTGGGAATACTCGTCATCTCAGTGACTGGCTTTCTGTGCAGCAAGCAGCAGGATCTAGACCAAATCCCTGATGTTTTGGTAACAAAATAAAAGCACCTCCAAATTTTTAAAAAGACAATGCATTTTGTAGACCCTTTCACCTCCCCTTTTGCTACTCATTGATCCTGGTCACATTTGCTAATTTCAGAACCCTCATGAGGATCCTTAGATGTCCCCTTAAGTCGTTGAGTCTGTACATTTCTTATCATTACTCCAATTACAAAAATGTTAACTAAGGCTCTCACAACTTTAACAGAATTCCCAGGTTTGCAAAATAAATAAATGCTGAATCAGAATTCAAATCTTAGTTTAACTCAGTAGGAGGGGCTACTCTTTCCCTGAATTATGGCTTTTTGTAGCTGTTGAAACAAATATCATATGTTGTAAATTAATGTATCAATATCTATATGGATAAATATTTCTAATAACTTGTCAAGACATTTTGTGTCTCTACTCACCCAGTTCAATATATTTTGTAAATCAAATTAAAAATATAAAAGGAGTCCAGATAAGCCCAAATTTATACTCAGAACTAACTTAAAGGTATTTCACTCTCTCACAGCCCAGCATCCTTCTGTCACCAATCCTGCAAGGTCTTACTTTACATCACTTTTCTTCAAACCCACCAGCAGTACTTAAATTCACACCTGTATTTATTATTTGAACAATTTTGATAGCTTCAAATTAACATCTCTGCCTCTAGTCTTCTGCCTTACATTTTCTTCCCCACATTATTTTCAAAACTATCTTAGTAAGACACTGACCAGAAATAATCTCCATGAGTACAGGGTTTTATCTGCTTTTTGTCTTTACTGATTCCATACTCAATAAATTGGGCACAATATTCAAATACATGAAACTGAATGAATAATTTCGGTTTTATAGTTGTTGTCGTTGTTGTTGCTCAAATTTTTCAAATTATTCCTAGCTAATCTCTAAGCCCCAGCTCTAGCAGAGAAGACACTTTGTGATGTGTTCCTACATCTTGCCTTCTTCCTGAGTGTAGTATGGATCCCTTGCTTCCTCTGCTTTGGTTTAGGTAATATGATACATAGAAGTAATTGTAATTTCACCATCATATCATGTTTCACATTTCCTCTGTTTTGTGTAGAAAATGCCACACTGGCTTCTAAATTGGTTGCCTGTGAGGATAATACTAACCCATCCTTCAAAGCCAGGGACTCAAATTTTTGTAAAGCTTTATCTCATCTTCTATAAGCACCTAAGTCTCACATCCTTAAGGCCTGCATTAGTTTATTATGGCCCATGCAAAATTTTATTGAATTTGTACATTTATACCTCTTTAAGTACCTTGATTACAGAAGCCATGTTTTTGTTTGTTTTTTTTATGCCTATAGCATCTAATATATACCTATAGCATCTAATATATACCTATAGCATCTAATACAGTGCTTGACATAGATACAGAGGAGCACTTGTGAGATGCTTTGTGAGAATTCTACAACCTTTATTTAGGTGACTGTCACTTTACCGATTACTAAGTCTGTGACATTGGAGAAGTTTCTTAAACACTATGACTCACTCTGTCAAACAATATCATGAGGGCATTAATAGTGCTGAATCTACAGAGTTGAAGATTTAGAGACAGTGCTTATTACTTGACATGTATCACAGGATCCTTGGGGTGTTGCTCTTCTGCCCCGAAACCTCTGTGGTCTGTGATGCCTTTGCCTGAGGTTTGCTGGGGGATCGATTGCACTCGTTCCACTCACTGGTCCAGGCAGGCTCGAGCTACGGGCCTAGATCACATGCCTGCCAAGGGCAAGCCAGGTGCACAGCAACAAGTGGTGTGTGAGAAAGTGAATGTGGGGTTCTGCCACTGAGCACACTCTGGTTGTGGCACAGAGGGCAGCTCCAGGTGCCAGCATGGGCACCACCAGCTACCTTCGAGGCTTTGGCTGGACCAGATTTACCACAAACAGCTTCCATGACTGGCACCAGGAAACACGGTGGAGACTGAAATCTTAGACGCCAGGAACTGCAGAGCCCCCAAGAGGGTGTCACAGCCCTGGTTCAAAGGCAGGAACTCCTAGGACTGGGCTCCCCAAAGCACAATAATGCTTCTCTCCTTCTGTGTTTTGTCCTTTTGGCTTGCAACGTGGCAAGCAAGGGGCGTGTTTCAGCCCCGTTTGTGTTACGCCTGTTTCAGTCCCACCATTCAGGAGGTCTCAAATTCTTGTCCTGGCTCCATGAAGTATGACGTATGTGGACAAGTGAAAGCCGCCAAACAAGGTGAAGAGGTGCTTTACTCAGTGACAGAGCAGCTCAGAGGAGACCCACAATGGGTAGCTCCTCTCCACAGTCAGGTAGTCCAGTCTTCTATCCGCGTCTGGCTGAGTCTGGGCTGTTTTTATGGGATTCAGAGGGGAGGAAGTGTGTGCTGATTGATCCGTGGGTCGCCATGGGCACCAGAAAAATACAAGTTCTCACGCTGTCTGCGGAATGGAGAGCCCAGCACCAGGGCTACAGGCCTCCCTGGCTTGAAGGTGGGGCTTCACCGGGGACTTGCGTCTTTCCGACCAGGAGCCTCTCTGCCTCCAGCCGCCATTAACCTGCTGTCCGGGTGCCCGTGGCACTCAAGCTGTTTGTGCTGAAGGGTGCCTGCAAGCCTGTGCCAAATAACGCGTAGTAGCACCGTTGGCATCCCTCTGATGCTCATTGGTGCCAAAAGTCTGAAGCGGCCTGAGGCTGTAGGGGGCTGGCGTGTCAGTGCTGCCCTGAATGCGCACACCCAGCCAGGTCGTGAAAGTGCCGGGCTTAGCCACAACTTTGCTCTGAAATTAGAGTGGGTGCCAGAGCGGAGACAGGCCGAGCAGTGGGAGCAGGCACTTGCGAACCTGCAAGAAGTGGGGGGCTTCCTGGGCCCCCAAGACTGCAGGAAGGCCCTGGTCCTCAGTCACAAATGGGTGGCTGCAGCTGCCACCGCAGTGGTGGGGCTTCCGCCCGCCAACCTGGAAGGGGTTGGGCTTCCGCCTGTTCCCAGCTGCCACCGCGGTGGTGGGGCTTCCGCCCGCCAACCTGGAAGGGGTTGGGCTTCCGCCTGTTCCCAGCTCCCTCCCGCCGGCTCCAGCCCCCGCCAGGCCTCCCCCACTGCAGCTGACACCATGGCCACCGCCTCCAGCTGGGTCTCCGCTGCCATTACATGGATTAAGAACACGAAAATGCTGCAAATTATTGTTTTTTGAGAAAATCGCCCACCTAGTCTGAGGGTTTGTTTTCTTATTTGTAAATTAAAGACAACAATGCTAATTTCAGAAATATTTTGTAAGAATTAAATAAGAAAAGTATTTCAAAATAATCATAAAAACAAATGTTATTTGTAAATGAAATAAGAGATGACATATGTAAATGAAGATGTTATTATTAAGATGACAGTCATAAATTCAATTATGTCACAAAGTTCAGAAGGTTATGGAGTAGCCAGGGAAGTTGACTTACTTTAAAGAGTCAGAATGAAAGACTGGGAAAGAAGTCAGTGATAAAATTAGAGATGTAAGTGCTTGTTTATGAGAATTTGGGCAGAAGACACTTAGTGTCTTTTAGTATACATGATAGCTTTCCCCACATATTGAAATGACTAAGTAGAAGTGATTGAATTTGTTGATGAGAGATACTGAAGTTTTTGATGACTTTCCAAATAAAAGTTTAGAACTACAGAATTGAATTGTAGGAAAGTCCATTTTAGTTCAACATAAGGAAATATTTTCTAAAAATTAAATTTATGCAAAAAAGAAATCCATTTCTTCACATGGACCTGAGTTTGAAACACCTGCTCAATCCACAGAATGGGAGAAAATGTTTGCAAACTATCTCTCTGATAAGGGATTAACAACCAGTATTTATAAGGAGCTCAATCAAGTTTACTGAAAAGAAATCTAATCATCTGATTTAAAAATGGGCAAAAGATTTGAATAGACATTTCTCAAAAGAAGATATAATAGACATTTATCATACCCATGAATGACAGGCATGTGAAAAGATGCTAAACATCATTGAAGAGAAATTCAAATCATAACTTCAATGAGATATTGTCTCACCACAGTTAAAATGGCTTTTATCCAACAGATAGGCAATAAGGAATGCTGGACGGGATGTGGAGGAAAGGGAACCCTCTTACACTGTTGGTAAGGATGTACACTAGCACAACCACTATGGAGAAGAAGTGTGGAGGTTCCTCAAAAAACTAGAAGTAGAGCTGCCATATGATCCAGCAATCCCACTGCTGGGTATATTCCCAAAAGAAGGGAAATCAGTGTATCGAAGAGATACCTGCACTCCCATGATAGTTGCAGCACTGTTCACAAAAGTCCAGATCTGGAAGCAACTTAAGTGCCTGTTTCATTCATAGTTGCCATATTCATTCACAGATTAATGAATAAAGAAAATGTGGTACTTATACACGATGGAATACTATTTGGCCATAAAAAAGAATGAGATCCTGTCATTTGCAACAACATGGATGGAACTGAAGGTCATTGCATAAAGTGTAATAAGCCAGGTAAAGAAAGACAAACATTGCATGTTCTCATTTTATTTGTGAGATGTAATAATCAAAATAATTAAACACATGGAGATTGAGAATAGCAGGACGGTTACCATTTGGGGGAGACTGGGATGGGTAGTGGTTACAAAATACAGTTTAAAGAATAAATAACACATAGTATTTGATAGCACAATGGGATGACTATAATTGAAATAATTTAATTGTATATTTTTAAATAACTAAAATAATATAATTGGATGTTTATTACACAAAGGTTAAATGCTTGAGGAAATGGATGACTCATTTTTCATGAGATGACTATTTCACACTGCATACCCATATGAAAACATTTCATGTACCCCGCAAATACATTGCCTACTACGTACACACAAAATTCTACAAATGAAAAAATTGAAAAAATATATATCAATTTTAAAAGTACAAGCTGATAACTATTAGATAGCTACTTACATTTTCCCTTCTTCACTTCCCATTGTATATATGATAAGCAGCATGCCTAATTTTACTGGAGAAAAAAAAATGAGGCCATACCAATTTTAAAACACCTAGCATTGAAGTTTCTTGAAACATGATTTTATTTTCCTCCTCTTTTAGGAGCAATGCCCATCAAAACAAGCCTTCTTTTTTTTTCAAGCTTTTAAATGAGTATTTATTATTTTCATGAATGATTAATCCCTAGCAAAAGAACATTAAGAGGATGCAAATAAGCCTATGGAATTAAAGCAAAATGTTGCTTGGTGAAGCAGCAGATGTTGAATATTTCACAGTATTCCTGATTCCAATTGTGGGGTTGTGCCAGGCCTCTGATAACTGAAGCATATTTTTTCAAGCCCCAATGAAACATTTGATCAATGTTCAAGTGGCAGACAAGCATCATTATTATGGTGTCTGGCAAGTATAGGTATTCAGAAGGGGGTTGGCATTAAAATATTTGTATGTATCTGCTAATTACATTTCTCACTTCCAAGCAGCAGCATCGTCATCCTTGTAGCATTTGTCATCCTTACAGCAGGTAGCATGGGTACAATGAAGGATAAAATATTGTCTTCATGATCACAGGGAGCTATACTGGAATTCTGTGAAAAGTATGATAAGAAAATCTATCCTTTACTTTCAAAGTATCATTACGAAAAAGCAAAATGAGTCAGACAAAAAAGTCTAACAATGGAAGCAGTTTCCAAATGTGTGTGTTTGTGTGTGTGTGTGTGCATGTTTGTATACGTGCGCACGATAATCTGTGCTTTTTATTGTTCCTCAATATTTTACACATTTTATTCATTATTTAAGTTAATAAAAATGACTTATTTTAAATAAATTACATACTTTACAATATATTTGCACCTGTATCATTTTATTTAATCTTAAAATGGCTATAAGTTTAATTCTATGAGATTGAAACCCACAAAGTTTAAAAGACAAGTCTAGAGACTGAGAGCCACAAAGAGTAGACCCAAAATTTCAGTTCAACTTCAGATTCTGAAGTCCAAGATATTCTTTGTCTAATCACATTGCATCTGTGGGCTTGTTACTCAAACTTGAAATTAAAATAAATAAATAGAAAACATTCAAGGAGAAATAGAGCAATATAAAGCTTTGTGAAATGTAATTGGATCTGCCCTATGCACATCATCAATAGTCAATTTGTTTTATTAGTTCTGAAATGTGCTCTGCAATCAGTTTTATGGACCACTCTATTGACTTTTAGATACAACAACAAAGCCAAATGTCCAAGCAGCTATCAGCAACATAGCTTCAGATTTTTGTTCATTTTCCTTTAAATACTTTCTTCTTTTTTGCCTCAGCTAGTAAGAAAGGAGAACTTAAAAATTACAAAGTTGCATGTATATTTAATTCTTAAACTACAAAGCATTTAAAATGCATAATACTCAAAATTTTGACTACCAAAAATTAACTACTTTGCACAATATGATATGGATCATATCTGCCAAAATCATTATGTGTTTAAAGAGTAAGGACAATTTTAAAAGGCCATAATTTCATTTTTAAAAAGCAGTTATTTGATATATTTACAGTTCTAGGATTTTTTGTAAACTTAATTGTATAAAATAAGCAATATCTTTTTCTATCAACAATTTGGTATTTATCATTGTTAAAATATAAATTTGACCACAACTCTATTCCCATGGAGATTCCACTTTATTTAACTCTCTCTGCGTTAAGCTTGTTTAAAGGTAAAATAATGCCACTTAAAAGTTCGGCTAAAAAAACTAAGCATACTAGAATTATTGCATTTTTCACATTTTTATTACTTTTTATTTGTACACATCTGCTAAATACAATGGGCTTGCAAAATTAGAACATTATTACACAAGAAAAAAATCAGGTTTCTCTTTTTTTTTCCCCAAAATTTAACACTGTTGATTCAGTCACCAGCTCAAAAATCGTTCAATAGCTACTTATTGCAGATGACATAAATTCCAATATTCTTTACCTGTTATATAAGGCCTCCTACTGTTTAAGCTAGCCCTGTTGTTTCAAATGTACCTTCTTCCATTTGCCCTGATATAATTTTCAGCCCTTCTGAGATAAAATATAACTGCCTGAATGTTTCATATACTCTTATGGTTTTGTACCATGGCAAATGTTATTCCTTTTTCTGTAAAACCCTCCCCATTTTGCATACAACTAGCAAACTATTGCTTAGTGTTATAGAAACTGAGTGATTCTCAATGCTCATATGCCTTTTTCCCCATAGTACTAAAATTAGTCGCTGGCACATGGCTCCCTACAAAATACTACATTTCCCCACATCCCGTGAAGGTAAGTGTAGTCTTCTGGTTCAATCCTAGCCAGCAGAATATATGAAGTTGTCCTGTGGGATCCTTCTGAACCTCTCCTTAAGTGGGAGTGGACTGTAGTTTCTGTCCCTTTATTTCATGATTGTCTCCATCCTGGTTTCTGAGATGGGGAGACTAAGTGTCACACTAGGACCCAACATTAGACTATGAATTCAGAAAGGACCAAGGTAATCAGGTATTTGTAGTACAGAGCCTCAGAACAGCCCTGATCACTTACTTTCAAAAATAATTTAACAAAAAATAAAATGTTCTGGTAGCATTCAAGTCGGTGGGTACAGAACTTAATCCTAACCATCTATCATATTTCAAGATCAGGCTCAATTTCAACACTATGAGAATTAACAATATTGGATTAAGCTACCTACAATTGTATACTCCATAAGTCAAAAAACCATCAAATATTTGCAATTTCATGAGTTTTAATTTAATGTTGCTAAAGGAAATATTATTTACCATATCTTGTAAAATCCCACAAAATCTTACAGTGCTCTCATATATGATATTATAATTATTTCCTTACATTACTATCTCTGAAACAATACTGGATGTTTTCAAAGAAAACATAAGACTTACTAATTTCAAATTGTCAAATTAGATTCTAATTCCTGATTATTAATAGGCATATGTACATTTTATGGAAAGAATAGTGTATTAATTAAATATATTATTTTTGTTGTACTTACATCACTTTTGAAATTATTATCCTTTGAGATAGATTTCTTTTTTTTTTTTTGAAAGAAAGAAAGAGAAAGAGAAAAGGGGAGAGAGAACAGAAGTCTTGCTCTATTGCCCATGCCGAAACACAATCTAAAAGTAGGTGTTAAAAACCTCTTTTATGCTGGTAGCTGTGCTTAACAGCAGACACAGGAAGGAATAAGGAAAGAAAAAAACAAACAGCCAACCAATATTTCATTCAAGTCTGTGAAATGCTATGCAAATGCTGAAGAGAGATTTACTTCCAATTATGTGGTCACTTTCAAAATAGGTGTAATGTGATACTGAGAAAAATGTATGTTCCGTGGACCTGGGGTGAAGAATTCTATAAATATTCACTGAGTTTACTTGTTCCAGGTATGAGTTCAAATCATAGATGTCCCTGTTAATTTTCTATCTCGTCGATCTGTCAAATATTAACAATGTGCTGTCAAAGTTTCCCACTATTATTGTGTGGGAGTCCAAGTCTCTTTATAAGTCATTAAGAACCTCTCTTATGTATCTGGGTGTTCCTATATTGAGTGCATATATATTATGATCATTGACTCCTGTTGTTGCATTGATCCTTTTACCATTATGTAATGTCCTTCTTTGTTTCTTTTAGTCTTTGTTACTATTAAAGTCTATTTTGTCAGAAACGAAAGTTACAAATCCTGTTTTTGGTTTTTCTCCTCTCCATTTGATGGGTAAGTCTTCCACCAACCCTTTGTTTTGAGTCTTTGTGTGTCCTTGCTCATGAGATGGATCTGGATACAGCATACTGATGGGTTTTGACTTTTTATTCAATTTGCCTGTCTGTGTCTTTGACTGGGACATTTAATCCATTTAAATTTAGGATTAACAGTGATATTTGTGAGTTTAATATTGTCATTTAATGGTAGCTGGCTATTTTTGCCCATTAGTTGATATAGATTCTTTATTATGGAGATACTCTTTACCTTTTGGTAAGTTTTTGGGACAAATGATACTGATTGTTCCTTTCTGTGTATAGTGCTTCTTTCAGAAGCTCTTGTAAGGAAGTTCACAGGACTAGTGGTGATGAAATCTCTGAGAGCTTGCTTGTTTGTGAAAGATTTTATTTTTCCTTCATTTATGAAGCTTAGTTCAGCTGGATATGAGATTCTAGGTTGAAAATTCTTTTCTTTGAGGATATTGAATATTGACCCCCACTCTCTTCTAGTTTGTAGGGTTTCAGCTGAGAGATCTGCTGTGAGTCTGATAGGCTTCCCTTCATGGATAACCTGACCTTTCTCTCCTGCTGCCCTTAGAATTTTCTCCTTTATTTCAACCCTGGTGAATCTAGCAATTTTTTGTCTTGGGGTTGCTCTACTTGAGAAATATCTTTATGGTGTTCTCTGTATTACCTGGAGTTGAGTATTGTCCTGCCTTATTAGGTTAGGAAAGTTTTCCTGAGTAATATCCTTGAAGAATATTTTCCACCTTGGATTCATTCTCTTCATG